CAACCCTGAGCCGGTGAGATTTGAACCGCTGAACTGCTGATCTAGCAGTAGCCTGCAATGCTGCATTTAACCACTGCGCCACCTTGGCTCGATCACAGGACCCAGTGACACTACGACCGTCATAAATATGAGCCAGTCGCCAAGTGTCTGAATTCTGATCACGTGGCCATGGGGATGCCGCAACAGTGGTAAGTATGAAAAACGATCATGTCACTTTTTTTCAGTGCTGTCGTAACTTTGAATGGTCACTAAATGAACATGCCAGTTGCCCATTGTGAAGCTTTCAAGAAGAGACTGGACAGCCATTTGCCTTAAAATGGTATAGGATCTCCTGCTTGAGCATGGGGTTGGACTAGATGACCTCCAAGATCCCTTCCAACTCTGTTATTCTGTTCTAACTCTTGTTGACTTGAAGCAAATCAAATTCAAGCGGCCATTAGGAATTCGACGCTGCAATGACCGCCGCCGCCGCAAGGGGCAGCTTGTGCGACGTCCCTCTTATTCCGATTAGAATCCTCCTCAAGGTGGCGGCGCCAGATCGCGCTTCCTTATCAGGAGCCACGCTCCACCGAAGGTGCCGCGCAGACTCAGTTGCCGACTTGTACGTCGACCTTCTCTAAATGGCTGATGGGACCGCCTTCTCCCTTCTTCCCAGGAGGCGCTGGCACTTCCTGTCGCGGCCGGAAGTCATCCCGTCCCGCCTTGCGAATTTGTAGACAGCGATTTCGACGGCCGACTTGGAGGAATTTCGCTTAGTGGACCGACCATGGCTGACGTGCTGGACCTTCACGAGGCTGGGGGCGAGGACTTCGCCATGGACGAGGACGGCGACGGTACGAGTCTCACGCCATTCCCTTTTAGGCCGTCCCCGCGTCGCAACAGCCCTGCGAGGTGGGCCGTAGAAGACCGGCTGAGGCCTTCGAGGCTGACCATCTGCGCATGCGCGCTGCTAGCCAGGGCTTAAAGCGCCATGGGACACATTTTACTGGTTATTTACTTAAATTTCCCAATGAACCAGTGGAATTGCTTGCCACCAGAAGTTATGGGATCTCCATTCCTGGAAGCTTTCAGGAAGAGCCTGGACAACCATTTGTTTGTGGTACAGGATCTCCTGCTTGAGCATGGGGTTCGACTAGATGACCTCAAAGGACTAATTCCAGCCCTGTTATTCTGCTGTAGCTCTGCTGTTTTGTGGAGCTTCCAAGAGCTCAACCGGTGTACCTGCGCACTAGATGAGAGAGAACAGATTTTGAGTTTAGTCTTTCACATAACCGAGTTGGAAGGGACCTTGGAGGTCATCTAGTCCAACCCCATGCCCAAGCAGGAGATCCTGTACATTTTAAGGCAAATGGCTGTCCAGTCTCTCCTTGAAAGCTTCCAGGGATGGAGCACCCATAACTTCTGGTGGCAAGCTGTTCCACTGGTTAATTTGAAAAAAATATGATCGTACATCCCTCAGTAATTTTTTCTCTCCAGACCAGACGTAGTCAGATTTGCATTGGGGCTCTCCTCCATTGGTCTGAAAGGCTCTTGGGTTTCCTCCTTCAGCAGGGGGTTGGACTAGAAGACCTCCAGGGTCCCTTCCAACTCTGTTATTCTCCTCTCTTCTGAGTTTATTGTACATCACCCAGAGCCCCTCGGAGGAAGGTTGAGAAATATGAAATATAAATAGGGAATAAGTAAAAGAAATGTAACACCAAGGTTTAAAATTATTAATGTTTTATATATTGAGGTTAAAACCATGTTGTAGTTAAAAAGCTGTTCTCCCCGCTCTTCTGTGGATGGGCTTATTTTCTGTTGTGTATTCTGGATTCTTGTCTTCGTTTTTATTCTATTTTGCGTTTAACAGTTAAGAGGCTTACTCTGAATTTTGTTACTTTCCACCAAAGATCCTTTCTTTCAGGTCGTCCTGTGATTGTAGGAGAAATGGCCCTTTTCTTAGCTCGGTTCAGTTCTTACCACTAAGAATTTTTTTCCTAGTATTTACTTCTAATCTATTTCCTATTTCAGGTGGTCCTTGACTTACTTCCACAATTGAGCTCAAAATGTATGTTGCCAAGTGGCAGATTTTTCAGAGAGTTTTGCCCCTTTTCGCAACTTTTCTTGCCGCGGTTGCTAAGTGAATCACTGCCATTGTTAAATTAGTAACGGTTGTGAAATGAATCTGGCTTCCCCATTGCCAGAAGGTCGCAAAAGGGGAGGCGGCCGTCATAAATATGAACCAGTTGATCAAGCATCTGAATGTAAATCACATTTTATTTTATTTTATTTGTCAAGCATGAATTAGATATGTATAAACATGATTATGAATGCATGAAATAGATTGGATGGATAGATATAAATACATCACTTTGGGGATGATCCAATGGTCACAATTTTGTGAAAAAATGGTCATAAGGTCCTTTTTCCAGTGACGTTGTAACATTAAACAGTCACTAAATGAATGGTTATGTCGAGTACCTGCATTGTGAATTGTTTTCAAAGTGACTTTGTTAAACTTTTTCATTCTTGGTTGCTGCTGTTAATTGATCCAACTATATTTGGTTTCTCTTTAGAAAGCATCCACAAATTGAAGGAAAAGGCGAAGAAAAGAAAAGGCAGAGGCTTTGGGTCAGGTAAGTTGTTCTTTCGGTTTAGCTGCAGCTGTTCATGAGGACTAGAAACCAGGAGATAGTGTGTTTCAATCCAACCCTAGGCATGAAAACCGATTGGGTGACTTTGGGCCAGTTACACTCTCTTAGCCTAATTTACCCACACAGGGTGGTTATTCTTTTGGCCCGCCAGTCGCCAACGGAGCTGGCAGCCGAGTTGGATAGTGAGGAGGTTGGGGAGGAACCTGGGCCAGTCCTGGAGTCTGGGGAAGGCTCTGATGAGGGCTCTGGGTCAGACTCCAGCTGTTCCTTTGAGGCAGAGGAACAGCTGGAGCCTGTTCCCAATGTGCACATGTGCAGCGCTGCCAGATGAAGGGAAGAAGGTGCCACAGGTGGACGTTGAATGGCCCCTCCCAGAGGAAATAAAAGAGGAGCGAAAGGGGAGTGGAGTTTGCAGGAGGCAGTTCGCTTAATTGGTTCATGACTCTCTGAGACTCCTTGCAAAGTTCTGCAGAGATCGTCCTGGCAGCTCTCCAAGCCAGATAAGGTCTGTGACTGTAAATCCTCCCTTGAAAGACTTTGCTGGATGTGAATGAGCAGAATTCACAGAAAATTAATAAAAGGGATTTTTGTTGGGACAAGGAGTCTGCTTCATGCTCTTGGGAAGCCTCGGTCAGAACAGTTGTTTTGGAAAAAATGGGGGGTAGAAGTATTTGGTATGTTTGCCAATTAGAGTAATAAAGGCATCTTATTTATAAAACAGGTAAAGGTGGGATATAAATAAATATGAATAAATGGTATTGCCTGTGACAGGTTCCTTCCCAGCCTACATGAGGTACAGGCAGGACGGAGAGAACTAAAATTTGTGCTCGGCCAACTCTAGACCAGAATAAATGCTTGTCTGCATTATCCCTGTGAGTTTCTCCTAAGGCACATTCCCCTCCTGTGCCAAGCTGTGAGAAATCAAACTGCTTTTGCCATCCCTAAAGCCGTGGTGGCACAGTGATTAGAATGAAGCATTGCAGGCTAATTCTGCCGACTGCCAGCAGTTCAATCCTGACTGGCTCAGGGTAGACTCAGCCTTCCATCCTTCCAAGGTTGGTAAAATAAGGACCCAAATTGTTGGGGGGAGGGGGGGGGCAAGAGGCTGACTCTGTAAACTGCTTAGAGAGGGCTGTTAAAGCATCATGAAGCGGTATATAAGTTTAATCTTTTGCTATTCTCTGAACGTGAGAACCAGCTTACAATACCTCCAGGAACACGTACAGTTACTACTTGTGTTTAATTACATATAGTATGTGAGTGTGCCAAATGTTTTTACAGCAAATGAGATACAGATTTAATTATACATATATTAAGTGCAGCTAGAATTATATTTGCACAAAGCTGTCAATGAAGGTAACGAGAGTCCTACAGATGAGAATGTGATTAGGGAAATATTAGAATGGGCAGAAATGAATAGATTTAACGCTTTCTATAAAAAAAAGAAAGAACAAACTGAATATTATATAATATAATATTATTATATTATATGATGGGAGTTATTTTATGGATGGTTGGAGAAAAAAATAGAAGTGAGGAATAAATGGAGATTAGTGAAATAATATATGTTAAGATAGAGATGTAAACAATATGATGATTATATATGATTGTCAAGCTGACCATACTCAATATATTATGTTTTCATTAGAGGATATGTTAAGAGGGAGAAATGAATAGAGTCATAATGCTGATTATTAATCTTGTAAGATTAGAGAATTATCCTCAATTCAAGGAATATTGTAAATCTTGATTGGAATGGCACAGAGACATTTTTACCCACACTGTTTAATGGAAGATGATATATTCAAGTTTTTAAAAAATTAATAAAAAGAAGTTTTGTTTTTCTTTTTTAATCTAAAACCTGTTTTCTCTCTCTTTTTTTTTTTTTTTTTGCTAATGGTTGTTCCCAAACAGAGGAAGGTTCCAGAGCCCGAGTTCGCGAGGATTATGACAGCGTGGAGCAAGACGGGGACGAACCGGGACCTCAGAGATGTGAGATGATAGCCTTGCTTTTTTTCCCCCCCTTCCTTTCGGCATGTCAAA